AGAGTAGAGTAGAGTAGAGTAGAGTAGAGTAGAGTAGAGTAGAGTAGAATTCTTTATTGGCCAAGTGTGATTGGGCACACAAGGAAATTGTCTTGGTGCAAATGCTCTCAGTGTATATAAAGGAAAAGCTACATTTGTCAAGAATTTTAAGGTACAACAATTTATAATACATAGGGTACAACAAGAGTAGAGTAGAGTAGAGTAGAGTAGAGTAGAGTAGAGTAGAGTAGAATTCTTTATTGGCCAAGTGTGATCGGGCACACAAGGAAATTGTCTTGGTGCAAATGCTCTCAGTGTACATAAAAGAAAAGATACCTTCCTCAAGAGTCATAAATAAATAAAATAAATATTTCCCTGCCAGAAGTCCCCCTGTTCCTCACACCACCACCACCAGCCCCCAGGGCACGTGGTGCCAGCCTGCATTTTGCACGTCCTGTAGAAAGGTCAGCCCTGGGGTTTCCGCACAGCAGAAGCTGCCCTAATGAAGCAGGCAGAGGAAGGAAGGAACCACCAGGAGAGAGAAGGCAGAACTGTCAAAGCTGGGAGGGAGCCGTGTTTTCCCTGACTGCTCCATTTTCTGGGAGCAGCTGGAGGCAGAATAACAGAGTTGGAAGGGACCTTGGAGGTCTTCTAGTCCAGCCCTCTTGCTCAGGCAGAAACCCTAGACCATTTCAAACAAACGGCTGCCCGGTGTCTTCTTGAAAACCTCCAGCATCCACAACTTCACGAGGCAAGCCATTCATTGTTCGGTCGGGAAAGCTCTCCTTAGTTCCAGGGTTGCTTCTATCCTGGATTAGTTTCCATCCGTTGCTTCTTCTCCTGGTGTTTTGGAAAATAGGTTGACCTCCCCGCTCTTCTTTGGGGCAGCCCCTCAAATATTGGAAGACTGCTATCACATCACTCCTAATCCTTCTGTTCATTATTCTCGACCCGTCCAATTCCTGCCATTGTTCTCTTTTGAACCCAAGTGCAAAAGAGAATGCTTGCAAGATACAGTTGCACATTTGAAATGTATTATGCAAGTATACAAACATAGACACACCCACGTACACCCACACACACAGGGGGTATGCATGGATATTAAGTTTAAATTGTGCAGATATGTCTTCCAGGAGAGGAAGAAAGAGAGAGAGAGGGAGGGAGAGGGAAGGAGGGAGATTTTACAGCCTTCTTTTGCTGCAGTTAGAAACCACCTTGGTCATTAAGTGAAGCACAGTGTTGTTAAGCAAATCTGGCTACCCCATTGATTTTGCTTGTGGGGAAGCTGGCTAGGAAAGTCACACAAATGGGATGCTGCAATTGTCATAAATAGCCAAGCACCCAAGGCGTAAGTCAAGGACTATCCCTCTATCTATCTATCATCTCCATCTATCCATCTATCACCTATATCTATCGTTATCTAATTTATCCATCTACATCTATCTATCATCGCTATTCATCCATCCAACTACAGTCTCTATCTATATCTCCCTTCTCATTCAATGAGTCCTCCGTCTCTCTTTTTTCCTGTCTCTCTCTTTCTCTCTTTTTCTCTTTCATTCTCTCTCTCTCTCTCTCTTTCATTCTCTCTTTCTCTTTCTCTCTCTCTGTCTCTCTCTTTCTCTCTGTCTGTGTACTCTTTCAACATATTTTATAACATTTTTTCTCTTTTTGATTGCTATTTTGTAAAGGGAACTGAAACTCTGTATATTGACATTCTGTAATTTATTCTCATCCATTTAGTACAATGGACTCGGCATCCTTCTATTGGGAAAAACTCCTTTTTTTAACATCGTTGGTCTATTTCTCCCAAGGAAGCTGGATGTTCTTGGTGTTCTTGGTCTCAGAGACAGTAAAGTGACCGAGATGAGAAAAAGACGCCATTCAAAGCCTGAATCAGCGGAAGCTCCACATGCTTCTTAATTCAATATTCTGTTCACTTCACTAGATATTGCAACTGATTAGATCAGGCATTTACCATTTAACGATTATCTCACCCTTGGATTTTTACAGCTCAGCTACCCTGAAACAATACATTTTTTTCCACATCTGCAGCTCACCCCAGATCCCTCAGAATAATGCCCTGGAACATAGAACATGGAATAACAAGAGATAGAAGGGATCTTGAAGGTCTTCTAGTCCAACCCCTTATACTATTCTGGACAAACAGCTGTCCAATCTCTTCTCGAAAGCCTCCGGTGATGGAGTACCCGCAACTTATGGAGGCAAAGAGTTCCACTGGTTAATTGTTCTAGTTTGAGTAGAGCAGGGGGGCTCCAAATTTGGCCACTTTTAAAGACTTGTGGACTTCAACTCCCAGCACTCTTCAGCTAGTCATGCTGGCTGGGCAATTCTGGGAGTTGAAGTCCACCAGTCTTAAAAGCAGCCAAGTTTGGAGATTCCTGGGGTAGAGCTTCTATAAGAGAGTTGTAAATAATGATACTCCTCAATTTACAACCATTTGCTGTTCGAAGTCACTATCACCCTAAAACAAAGGGACAGGATCATTTTTCACATTTACGACCATTGCCCAGTGGTGGGATTCAATTTGTTTTTGCTACGGGTTCTGTGGTTGTGGCAGGGTGTGGCATGGCAGGGGAAGGATACTGCAAAAAACCCCATTCCCTCCCTACCCCACTAACCTGCTTTCCAGCTCCGTTCTCCTGCGCAGGACAACAAAGAAAACCCAGCCAATCAGCTGGGACTCAATGGGAGGCGGGGAATAGACGGGGGCGGGGCCAGTCAGAGGTGGCATTGGCCGGTTCTCCGAACGACTCAAAATTTCTGCAACCGGTTCTCCAGAACCGGTCTGAATCGGCTGAATGCCACCTCTGCCGTTGCCACATCCCTATGGTGACATGATCCAAATTCGGACGCTTGGGCAACTGACTCACATTTCATGCGGAATTAAGGAGAAACTTAACAGTGACGACAATTAACCAGTGGAACTACTTGTCACTGGTATAGTAGGGTGTCCTGCTTGGCAGGGGGTTTGACTAGAAGATCTTCGAGGTCCCTTCCAAGTCTGTTATTCTGTATCCTGTGTAGGGTTAGAGGAGGAGGATGCTAACCATGGTTTAAAAGTAGGCAGAGGGATTTACCGGATGGTTGGCTGGTCTCCGCTCAGCTGCTTAAATCGCCTGTGCAGATTCTCAATTTGATCCGTAGTGACTACCGAGAGAAGACAAACAAGATTGTGGGTTTTTTAAAGCAGTTTGGCAAAAACACATCAGGAACTTTTCAGAATTCTCCTCCACAAACTGCAGCTGAAGAGAGAATGTTCAGCCGGTGAAATTTGTTTGTTAATACCTAGTTCATGTTCTTGGATTTCTTTAAAACGATTTCTCTATTTCTGGCTTTTCCAAGAATTTGCTTTTATAAATACTGGCCTTTTAAATGTTCTTGTCACAATTTCCATATTATTGCAGTACTGTATACACTTTAAGACTGAAATGCACATTCCTATATACAATCTCTCCTCGGTTCGCTGAGCACTCGAGGCAAATACATAAAATTCAGATGGAAGAGGAAAAAAAAAATATCGATGAAATGGTTTTCAAACTCTTTCTCCCCCACCCAGGGAAGGTTGTGATGCATGCTCAAAAGTGGGGAAAGTTTGAGTTTTCCTACAATGGAAGAACGTTTAGTAAAGTTGACGGTACTGGTATATAGATGGCTAAACTGATTTCCTTGAATAGACAATATCTACATTTATAGCAGGCTGGAAACTCCTGATAGACTTTGTTTTGGGGGGGGGGCACTTATGACTTGTGGTTTTGATGATTAGAAAATGTTAGATAATAAGAGAAAACCCAGAGGCACTGTGATATAAAAAGGCAGTCAGGCGAAGATATTTCTTTATACCCATGTTTCCCCAAAAATAAGACCCTGTCTTATTTTTTTTTGGCTACCAAAAAAGGCACCAGGTCTTATTTTCGGGGGAAGTCATCCACTGACTAACCTCACTTGTGTGCATCGTCCCCGGCCTCCTTTTCGCGGTCAGAGGCCTTCAGGAACTTCTTCTGTGGCCAACAAGGCTTTTATAAAGGCCTCTGCAGCCTTCAGGATCGATGCAGAACTTTGTTACCAGCTCCAGAGGCCTTCAGGAAAGCCTTGTCCAGCCTTGCTGGCTGCAGAAGAAATGGGCCGGCAAGGCAGGTGTCGGGGTGTGCGAGGCCTGGCTACAACTGTCCAAAGGTAAGTAGTTAGGGTAGCTCCAACCCCCCCCATCTCCACCCTAGCTTAATTTTTACCCATGCACTCTGGAGTGGTTGGGGTCTAAATTGGGGCTTATTTTGGGGGTAGGGCTTATATTGGGCACATGTGTAAAAAATCAAGCTAGGACTTACTTTCGGGGTAGGTTGTATTTTCAGGGAAACAGGGTAGCTAATGACTGAAGGAGGGAAGGTCCCGCCAATCTACATCAAAGTCACCTAATCTACCATTCAGACGTGACTTTATTCCCTTTCACAATCCCAGCTGTGACGGGGGAGGCACCCCACGGAGAGACGTTTTTGAAAATGGCTGGGGACAGCGAAGCAACGAAGGACTAGTTATAATTGGAAGAAAGGTCACCAGGAAATTCCTGGGGAAGTTGGGGAGGAAAAAACACCACCTGGGTGGAAGAAATGTTGTGCACGACAAAACTCCAGGAATGCCTTCCTGTTGTCAGAGGGCATCAATTTGGAGAGAAAGACCTTTCTCCCGGAAAAGCTGTGCTGTGCCAAAAACCTGATTGCAATTCCTCTCCTTGCAAAAAAATATAACTCTTCTGTTACCAATAGAAGAGGATATTTGCAGCTCAGGGTAGACATGAGGGGTCCTTGGGGCTTTGCGGAGCAGACGTTTCATTCACCAACTAGGTAACACCATCAGTGCTAGAAGGGAGTTGCAGAGAAAGAGAGGAGGAGGAAGACTGCGGGGGTATTTAGAGTTCTCTGAGCTTGCTTGTTTTCTTGCAGACGTTTCAGGACCCAACTAGGTAACATCATCAGTCCCAGAAGGGAGTGGGGTCTGCAGGAAAGAGGAGGAGGGGGAAAGGAGGAGGGGGAGGAGGAAAAGGAAAGGAGGAAGAGGAGGAGGAACAACGATTGTAGGGTCCTTGGTGCTCTCTGAGCTTGGTTGTTTTCTTGCAGACGTTTCATTACCCAACTAGGCAACATCATCAGTGCACAACCAACCAAGCCCAAAGGGCATCAAGGACCCCTCATTTCAAACCTTGAGTATGAATATTTGTCTTTATTGAAATTATATGAACCTGGAGACCCCAGTGGGATTTGTTCTCTTGTTTATATCCAGTGGAAAACATCACTGGAGGCTTTTAAGAAGAAACAGTGGCTAGAATGGCTATATGCACAATACTGGAAGAAGCAAAGCAAAACAGAGATAATAAGGAAAATTATGGCCTGTGCAAAATCCAACAGGTTAGCCCTAGAATTAAAAAATAAGAGGGAATCTGAGTACTATGAAACGTGGAATAAATTCTATCAGTGGTTGCATAGAAGAAGGCAAGGTTGGAACATAAGTAGCTATGATGATTAGAATAATTAGTAAACGATGTATCGAACAAGAGGATTGTAAATGGTGAAGTAAAATTTATATATGTATAACAATTATAATGCCAGAACAGCTGCACCCTGTTTATTCTTATAATTAAAATAAGAAATGAAGAGAAGGAGAAGGAGAAGGAGAAGGAGAAGGAGAAGGAGAAGGGGA